CCCACCCCACCCCACCCCACCCCACCCCACCCCCCCTGACGCCTGCGAAGTCAATGGTCTTGTAACGACTACGGCATGCGTTTACATGAGTGCTGTACCACCCCCCGACACCTGCTCCGCACGCGTGGTCAATGGTCTAACAACTGAGGCATGCAACATATGAGTATCGAGTATCCCCCCCGCCGCCGCCGCGGCCGCGGCCGCCTCGCCGTAGCCAATCCCCTCTTGGCTTGGCGTGAAGCCAGCCTTTCCGCTGGATTTTTCGGTGCCGTGTAATTCTAGTCGGCGTTGGTGATGGTGATGGTGATGGTGATTTAGAGAGTGCATTTTTTAACGAAGTAACGCCCCCCCCCCCATGTCGGTTCCCTGTGCCCCAAATGCTGCAGGTGATTGTGATGATGGGAGGCTTCTGGTTGGTATACCCTTTCCTGCAGGGGCATTAAAAAAGAAACAGAAAAGAAAAAAGGGGTTTTCTGTGGGGTTGTTTGCAGTGTAGTGCACGCAACGCAATCATACCGAGGCTTCACTGGAGTAGCAAGAGGGGGAGAATGAGAAGGAGACGCGTACACACACAACACACACGAAAGAGGGGGTGGAGTGAGAGAGAGAGAGAGAGAGAAAGGGCGAGATAGCGAGGAAGGAAGAAACAGAGAGGGAAAAAGAGCGTGACGGAGCGCGAAGACTCCCTCTTCGCTGTCCTCTGCTGCTGCTGCTGCTGCTGCTGTTTGCGTTCTCTCTCACGTGGTTTTGATCGCTTTGGTGTATCTACATGTATGTCGAGCGTCTCAAGCCCATCGATCCGCCAAATCATGTCCATATTGCTTTGCTGGCGCACCATCCTTGAGCAGTGCTCGTTCTCGTTCGTGTTGCCGGCCTTGGTGCTGTAGTCATCGTCTTCGTCGTCGCTGCTGTTGTCGTAGTTCTTTTTGTGTTTTTTTTTTGCTGTCCGGTCGTGTGCATCGGTTTATTTTGTTTTTGGTTGGGTTTTGAAGTGTTCTTCTATTCTTCTGGTAGCCATGGGTAAGAGCCCTTCCGTGTTTTTATGGGTGCGATAGGAAAGGGCCTGATCGGAATTGCCCTCTGCACCTTTTCATTCTGGATCAAGGTTCAGAGGTCGGTCGTTTGTCTGGTGTTGCCGGCGCCTCAATTTCGCTTGATTGACCGCTCCCCGACTGGTCGCACAAGGTCCATGGTTGGGCGCGTAGAATCAGTGGCGTCGGTATCAGCGTCGGAATCCGGGACCTTTTCCTGTGGGTAGTATGGAGTAGGAAGAATCAAGGGCATTCGTGATCGATATTTTGGTAAGGGGGGGCTTTTTATCTGGGAATACAGAACGCAGTACGGGTTCTCTTACGTCCCCCGACCTGATCCATGTTTTATTTACCACATACTTCGTACCTTTTCGTGTAGTAAACTTGTGCCGTTTACCACGAACCCCCTACAGTAGAATCGTGCGGTTTGGTGAGTGCTAGAACCGTTCCGTGAAGTACCCATCCGGCCCGCGCCACTTTTCCTGGTTTATCCTTTTTTGGTCTTACGGTGTCCCTTGGTGTTTGAGGGGGGAGGGGGGGGGTTACTCCTTGTATGGTTTCATTTTTTTTTTTTTTCAATGAAGAATGGCTGGATGAAGTGAGAGGTGGCATCGGGTTGCTCCCGACGTGGTGTTGGTTTGGTGCATGGATCATATACTAGTAGTTAGAACCATTTTTTCATGCATAGCGGGGCCCATGGGTGTGAGCACGCGGGTGCGCAGTAGTAGATAGATGAAGGGACCAAGAGGGAGCGAGCGAGCCCAGACGGTGTACGCGACTCTCTCGACGGTATTATTGTGCCGCGTTTGCCCCCCCCATTTTATTGTTGGACTAAAACCAAATGCATATATGTATGTAGTTGTACTGGCAACGGGAAGCATTGGTTGTTCGGTTGATGCTTTTTTTTCTTTCTACCAAGGTGAGGGATGTTTTTTGTGTGTCTCGTTAACGGGGACGGCGATTGTAGACTTAAGTTGAGGCGTGATTGTACCTTCTCGGTTTGTATCGTTGTGCCCTTCGCGACGAAACGAGGCAACGACAAAAGCTCTCCTTTTTTTTATATGTTTCTTGATATGCATATGGCACAACAAACCCACGTCTGATCCTTTTCTTATCCGTGTTTTTTGTCTGTTGGGAGACAGCTCGTTCTTCGTTTGTGTTGTTTTTGATAAGAGAAACTTGCTGCAGCACCACCCGCTTTGTTGTTACCGCACCATGATGTGTCGTTCATTAGTTGGGCGTTTGCAAGCAAGCGTTTTTTTACGTGGTAACTTACACAGGTAGACGGGAGGAAGAATCAGGCCCGCTGGTTTGCTCTCCTGTTCGTCTTGTGGTTTGTTTAGTGTTGGTTTGGTTGAGTTCTGATTTTACTCGTACGGTGTGCCGCGTCGAGTAGAACAGACGACGTGGTCAAGCAATGACAAAAACCTGCTGCCGCGTTATTTTTTTGTGTTTTTTCTTGGAACATGCCCTAGGAGGCTTGATCTGTTCATTGCGTGTTGTTTTCATGTGTGCGCTGGAGAAAGAGGCCGCGGGCGATATAACCAGAACGGACCGTAGGCAGTATTATATGCTCGTTTCTTTCGTGTGGAATACTTCTACATGGTGACATCGCATAAGTGCCCCAGACGCCAACTGTGTTGAAAGTCCCTTGAAAGTCAGGGAGTCAGCAGTCGATCGAAAACACTGCCACAGCAGCGTAGAGGTAGATAAAAACAACATCTGAGATGTTGTTTGTTCCTGTCGGCGCTGTTGTTTTTACAAGTGAGAAAAAACAAATGTGGTAAAAAAGAGAAGAAGAGGTGAGAACGGCGCCTTTGCAAGCATCTTAGTGTAGTAGGCTGTGTTGTGTGTTCGGCCACCAGTTATACATGGAGTTTTGTTGCCAAGAAATAGTTGTAGCAGCGCATGTCCCTCCAGAGCAGCACGCGCTTCGCCCTTCGAGTATTATGCGTATCCCCCGGCTTGTGTTGGCGACTTGGGTCTGGTTTTTGCTCCCGAGCAGGAGCGCTCCACTACGTAGTAGATCTGTAGCCTTACGTGTGACCCTGGCTTAAAATGGCGGCGACGCGGCAATGGCAACAGAACAGAGCCATCAGTCAGTGTGTTGGAGGATGCCGAGCGGTAGGTATTGATAGGTAGGTATTGATAGGTGTGGTCTAGATAGAGTAAAACATATGCTAGAGCAGCAGCAGCAGCAGCACTGCTGCTGTTGTTTTTCACGGAACAAGCTGCTGACAGACGCCTACAAGCCAAAGGTGTACGTTGAGCAGAGAGAGGTGAATAATAAGACGAAAGAAGCCCGTCAAGTATTTTTTGTCAAGACAGATATTCTCGCGTGAGGACGAAAACTCCTCCTCAAATTATCTTCTAGTCGAGAGTCTATCCAGGTGCCTCCACTGGGCTTGAGGACGGTTCACTCGGTCCTCGATACGGTTGTCGGCCTGGGCGCTGGGAGTATGCGCTTCAAAACCCTTAAATGTAAGCAGGGCATCACAGGGACGTTGACGCACACACATGGCGTCTACAGTACAAAAAAAAAAAAAGCACGACAAGTAAGTGCTTGTCCGTTTTTTTCGCCATCAATGTGATGTGATGTGACACAAAACTTTAGACGAAAAGTGAGACTTGTTTTTCTCTGCGCATATATATGCATACGCTCACCACGCAATTCCAGCAAGCCGTGCCCTCTTGACGGCGACGGTGATCTCGCGTGAGTGACCAGAATCTCTCTCAGACCGAACCAAGTCTTGCAGCTCGCCTCGCCTCGTCGAGTTGACGGAATGGCGCCGGCTTCATTCAGTGCACAACAACAAAATCTTCAAATCAAGATCAAGATATTCCCGAGCGCTTGGGTAGCGGCTCACGCACAAAGTAGTCACGTTTCCGGACCCACCAAAGCCTACACTCATTTTCACCGCGCTTGCCTGTTTCTTCTATTCCATGTTGTATATCCGCCGTTGGTCGGTGATCTTGCGGCAGGCAACAAACTCAGCCAGCCAGCCGTCCATTCGACCGCGGCTACCTACAAGTACCTGCTCAAAAAGATAAAAAAAAAAAAAGACAGCTTCCGACAGGCAACCCCGGTGATGCTCACTCGCCTCGCTGTTTTTTGTCACAATGTTCACTTCGGGATCTAAAAGTCGACACCCCATATTTTCTGTTTGCACTATTCTTGGTGACTCATCTATTTACCCTGTCTTGTCGTGAACCTGAGCCAGCCCGGCGGAAAGGTATCTAGCACCAACCAAAATTTCTTTCTACCGACTTGACGGGGGGAAAAACAAACAAACGCACACCCAATCGACATCGACACAAACGTTGGTTTTGGTCGGAAGCCCTCCACAACAGACCGCCAACAGGGAAAACCTTTCCGGGTCGCAACACAAAATAAATAACGAAAGGTTCAAATTTGGACACACAACAACCCTGAACTGGTGTTATTCGCCAAAGTGCGAACTCTCTGGGTGGTTTTTTCCATCCACACACTATATGCTCACACGGCACACAATCACTCTCGATTGTGCCCTTTAGTATGCATACGAGGGTCTACAGCAGCGAGCGGTGCCTCTTGCTCTGTTTGTGAGTAGCCTTGACGGCCACTTCTGCTAACAACACCCCTGACACGTGGTACCAGATGCCCAAGGAAAATACTTCCTTCCTTCCCAAGCGGAAGGGTAGGAAGCGGCTGCTACGCGCCTGCATCCTCCAATCAACGCGGAACTTCTCCAAGAAAAGGAGGAAAAAAATAAAAAACATGCTATGCATACTATACCGGAACCAACAACAACGACAACGAAAGGCAGCCAGCCCAGCCAGCGGTGGTGGTGTTTCGAACTGTGTACACGTCGCGACCGCTTGCTGGGCAGAGATCTGTCTGCTTTGGACACTAGACTGAATTAAGGAGCCATCGTTTACCTACATCGCTTTCTCATAACTAACAATATTGCGACGTCTACGATAAAGTGTAGTACCACGTAGTAGTATCTAATCGCCCCCCCCCCCCCCGCCGCTGCCTACCAATCTAAAACCAC